TATAGACAAACGACAATTCACACTCATATTCGCAACTAGGGACAATTTAGTCTTCATTGAACCATGCATGTTTTTGGAAGAAACTTGTGCACCAAGAGTCAGGAGAAGATTCACGTCAGCGCGGAGAGAACATGCAAACTCTCCACGGGAAGGTCGTCGCCTAGATTCGAACCTCAAACCTCTGAACTGTGAGGCAGATCTGCAAAAGAGTTATAAATCACATCCATCTAAATCATATGTGTCACTAAACGTCCTTGTCAATTAGGATGACTCACTGAAAGAACAACACCTTGCATGTGGTCTGTAAGCTCCTAACTTTATTTACACAGTACAGGTATTTTTTTGCTCAAGGAACAAAGCCACACCATGGATCGAGGATCAGGTTAACCTCCAAGTATTTATAACATCCAATAACATTGCAGTGACGCCATCACTATACAGTACTACTCACATCGAGGTGGGGGGGAAGAACTTATCTGGTACAGTAATAGATGAGATGTGAAGACAACAGATGGGGCTGAAGCTGATTTGTTGAGTCAACAAGTGTCACGGAAGGAGCTCCAAAGATGAATTCATCGATATTCAACAAGGACCATCGGTTTGACGAAACAGGGAAAACGACAAGAGCAATATGCAATATGAAAATAATTTGACAGATGTGCATATGCATTTATTTAAGGAGACAAAAAATTGATAGATTAGACATTTATGAGAGTGGAATCTTGAAACTATCGCATCCAAACAAAAGGAAAAAAAACAATTGTGATTTTAGCATGGCTATGTATACAGTACAAAAGACTCCACTATGTGGTGTTTTTCAGCCCCCCCCCCCAGACCCATTTACACACTTAATAAATTTAGGGAAAAGAGTGGCACACCACAAACAACATTTATGCAACATTTATGACCATATCTCACAACATGTCACTATTTATCATCACAGTAACAATGACACACTGGTAGCTGTAAAAGCACATGTACATTTTCGTAAAAATATTTGCATTCTTCTAAATGATGTTTATATGTATGCACACATTTATTTATTGCTTTGAAATTGTTTGTTTCATTTTTAGAGATGAAAATGGGCTTTTTGTATTATGATCATCTCTGTGAGGCATGCAACACAAATACAGCAGTGTCCATTTCCATTTGTGGTATTATAATGATTATAATCCCACTACATACTATTTAAAATTACAGAAATTACAGAAGAAAAAAAAACAATCAAACAATATTTGAATGTTTAAATGTTCCAATACACTTCTTCCCCCAAAGAGAGAGGAATGATCAAATGTGTGCCACAGGGCAAAAACACAACAGTGCATCGTAAACAACTAAATGAAGTGAAAGGTCTCGATGACATATGTAGACTCAACGGGCCTCTTGAAGTTGGTGACACCATCTTCATGGGTACACAAGTTTGTAGGGAATATAAAGCTGATATCTATCTGCTTTATTTTTTTCTTCTTTTGGCTGAGTGTTTTCAAACTCACCACACTGCTGCTAGCCAATATTCTTCACTCTGACACTCCTAAACGGCTTTTCGTCTAATAATCCCATCTGCCTTTCGTGCATGTCTCATGCTGTCACTGTTATGTTGAAGTATTGTTCTCCAGTCAGTGGAATAACTTCTCATGACAGCTCGCTATATCATGACTGGAGTGCAAACGATAGAATGGCTACAAAAACCCAAGGCTCAAAATAGTGGTTTTGCATTGCTGTTTGTTTTGCAGTGCTCGGATAATGGAATACACTTTTTGTAGACGTCTGGCTCAAACCACGTTAAAGCCAATAATATTTAACTTTGAAAAGCAAAACAGCAGGACAATTAAGTGTCTGGACCTTGTAGAGAACGGGAACTGGGAATTAATTAACTGCCAATCACTGTGTGTCAAAGAAAGCAGTTGACATTGATTGAAAAATGCATAAATATGAACTTATTCTTGCACAACAGAATTGAGTGAGACAAGTTGAGAGAAAAGTGACATTTTCTTAACTTCTGTTTGAAATCATGTAATTTACCTTAAATTACCTTAGACATGTTGCATTGGTTCACTGATCTAAAGTGGTTGTTATCTGCCATTATCCATGCTGAGAGTTTGAGAGATGCTGTGATGGAAATGGATTAAATGCTTAGTGTCTTTCATCAAGGGTAGTTTTAATTAGGTCCCCTAAAGGAAGATCTTACAACAATTGTCTCTAAATGTACTTTTGTTCCTGCTCTTTGTATCATTTGCTAGACTTAATACTCTATGTAATCTATCAGGTAAATACAATATCCAGTATAAATAATATTTACTCTCATTTGAAGAAGAGAACACCCTGTTCAAATTAAAAACTCTTGCTAGTGTAGGCCACTGAATTTTTTTTTATATGCCTGTATCCACTTCTGGAAAATGACAAAAAGGAAAAAAACATGTACTTTCCCAGCATTTAAAGTGCTCTACTGAAACTTCTCTTCCAGCAAAGGGAAGGAGAGAAGGCAGTCGAGCAGTGCAGATAATCACTGCCAGATGGTTGCCATCTTCTTTGTGCGTTAATCAAGCCTGGTTTGCACTCCTGCAGATAAGTTAGCCGGCAAAGACTTCAGGGAAATAACTAGTCCATAAATCTCTGAATTAAAAAATAAATAAATAAAAACACAGTTTCGCCCTATCAAGGTAGAAAAAAAATGTTTACATCCAGTACTGTATGAACTTTTTATAATTACCGATATATTTATGTTTGGCATTTCTTTGACCCTCTTTTTATTCTTTTAATAATATTTACAAAAAGCACTTGTATGTCTGGTCATCATGGAAAGAAATCAATTCAGCCAAAGTAGAACACCCCCAGTTTCTTTCCAACACCAATAGTTTTTTTGTGGCTTACAATACTGCCACAAATAAAAGCAATGACTGCAAAATAAGATTTGCCAAATTGGTCACACAAAAATATACTTTTTCAAACAAATTCTTTTAATCATGCGAATGTGAGTACGCTGCGAGGAACGTCACACCGAGGGACAATTTAGAGTGTTCCGTTAACCTGCCATGCATGTTTTTTGTAAGGTGGGAGGAAACCTGAGGACTCGTAGAAAACCCAGGCAGGCTCGGGGAGAACATGCAAATTCCCCACAGGAAGGCCGGACCTGGAATCGAACCCTGCACCTCTGCACTGTGAGGTGGATGCGCTAACCAGTCAATTACCATGCCACCTGCATACCATACAGTGCCAGTCAAAAGTTTAGACATATACTCTGTTAATTGCAGATGAATACTTACCTCATTGACACTAAGAAGAAATATTGATGGAATTATTTGTTAGGGCGGCCCGGTGGTCCAGTGGTTAGCGCGTCGACCTCACAGCGCAGAGGTACTCCGGTTTCGTCCCACATTCCAAAAACATGCAGGTTAATGGAACGCTCTAAATTGTCCCGAAGTGTGAGTGTGAGCGTGGATGGTTGTTCGTCTCTGTGTGCCCTGCAATTGGCTGGCAACCGGTTCAGGGTGTCCCCCTCCTACTGCCCGAAGATGGCTGGGATAGGCTCCAGCACCCCCCGCGACCCTTGTGAGGATAAAGCGGAACAGAAAATGGATGGATGGATTATTTGTGAAACAAAAAATGTTAATCAAAATAGAATGTTTTATAATATGCGCTCTCCAAAGTCGGCACCTTTTGCCAAGACTTCTTGGGATATTCCACATCTTGGAATTTTCTCATTCAACTTCATGATGTGGATGGTGCTTTCTGACTTTCAGTTCATAGCTCTGCATTATTAAGAGTTAATAGCTTGAATTTCTTGAAGTCCATAAGGTTGTGACGAGCTATTTTCCTCCAGGGCAAGGGTACCCCTCAAGAGACCTGCCATTATATTGACCAGCCATTGAATTGACCTGCCAACTGGACATGGGTGAGGTACAAGCCCGGATGTCTGTCTTGGTTGTAGCACGGCAGTTTGACTGTATCTCGGTGTCATGACATTTCCAGTGTTGAATGTGGACGCAATGGGGCACTGGGAGATGCCAGGCTGTAAGTCTCCACAGAGTACCCATGGAAAAAGGACCCACTCCTAGCCTTCCGTTGATTTTTACTTGTTATTTGTTACCTCCTCAACGTGCCCCCGGCGGCAGGAAGTGCTTGCCGCTCTTGGGAAGTGCTCTCGAAGGCAGGGCTTGCTCCCTTAATCCCTTCCTCCAAGCCTCCTCTTCTTTTGTCAAGTCAACTGCAAAGTCCTCAAGTTCTCCGATTGTGGTTGCCATCTTCAAACGCACTTGGGACACCATGTATTTCCCTCATTTGTGTCTAAAGGACGGCACATTCCCGATCCTCTTCAATTTGGTTTATTCCCACAAATGGGAACAGAATATCATTAATTCGTGGGCTGCTTTCGACCACAGCTCAAGTCCAGTCACCCAATACACCTGAAGCCAACTTTCAATCTTACATGGCATTCCTACACTTTCATCTGCAATGTGTCTTGGAACCCTTGATTCAAAGTTCCTTTTCCCATCCATCTCAAACTGTCACATCCTGTGCACATTTATGACAGAGTGAAACGAGAGCAAGTTTTAACTGAAGACAACTCTACACAACTATTTACAAGCATGTTGGGAATTCTGTGGCTTCAGCAACGTTGCAGTATATTCAAACGTACTTCCAAACACGTTTGAACTACCTGTATACTATTTGCGAATACTGTATTATTTGCCAGCCCAAAATGTTTACTCCACATTGGCAGTTTCATGCCTCTGTAGAAAACAAGCAAAAAGTGAGAGTGCTATACTTTAGTTTTGCATTTTTAAAAATTCGTTTATGTATTTGTTCATTTATTTACGTATTTTCTATCATTACAAAGTGGCTCTTTCGAAGGGCCATGGTGCCAGTGAGGTGACGCTGGCCCTTTAAGAGATGTTTTGACGGAGCACGTGCACTCCTTATTTGGGATCCAGGCGGCTCATGGTGACCGCTAGTTACCTCTACTGCTGTTCGTTTCTGCTCCGCTTTGAGCAGCGGTATAAAAACCGGCTGGGGGTTGAACTACTGTTTGCATTGACTCAGACACAGATGCGAAACACCGCTACGGGCGAGGATTACCGGTTTTTCTCCCCCCACCCCCCTCAGTTCATTTGTAACGAGTCATTCTATTGATGAGGAGGGATAACAAGAGAGGATACTCAGAATAAAAGATTGGTGAGTTTGGACTTTTGGGGATATGGACATTTTATTTACCCACATTCACCATGATACAATTTAAATAGTTTTTTTTTAATTTTCACGTCGTTGTTTTAAATATGTTATTATCCTTCTGATTTTTGTTGTTGTTTGTTTAGGGAAGGACAATGTTTTTGATTCTAGTGTAACGAGTGGTATTTGTCGCAAAATTGCAATTATCAGCAAACGTATTTAGTAATTATGTATGTAATTATGCTGAAAGGACATGTTTCATGAAGTCATCTTTCAATTAACAAGAGTCCATTAGAAATGCCTTGATGTTTTTTGTCAGCGGTCGTTGGCATTTTGTGATGTAAGTATCCTCTCTTGCCGTCTGCTCTGAGTTGGATTATAGTCCAGTCAAATGTTAATCAGACATGCAAAGTTCCGGTAACAGCGTTCAAAATAAACCCCTTATTTTTGCTTCTTCTGAACGCATAAAAAAAAAACAACAACAAAAGGGACAATGCATGTTTGATTTTGCTTTTGAGATTTGGGGATATTAACAGTTTTGAACAAAAGGGACAATGCATGTTTGATTTTGCTTTTGTGATTTGGGGATTCATTTTATTCATTTTAACACACACGGTTAGATATCTGCGGTGGTTCATTGTTCGTCAAGAGGTTGTGCATTTTCAGATGAAAAGCTTGTTCCGTTGTCTTCAGTAATTGACACTTTGATGTGTAAACAAAAAGACGCAGGATGTCCGACAGTAACCCCACTCCAAAGCAGCAATTGACACGCTTATTCAAGCGACCTAATCAAACGGCATTGAATTTTGCCACGTCTGTCATTGTGTTGTGTGGCATTGCGACTCTTATGATCTTGTGCATTGTTTCATTAAAAATTGTGAGAGGTCAAAGCAATTGTTTTATTTTTAATCGTCCTGCAGTAATTAACCGAACGCATGTCATTTTGTGTTTAATGCATTATTAATTTATTGTCTTTATATGAGCATTGTTCTCCGTTCACGTTGATTTTGTTTTATAAGAATTACAATGATGTCATCATTGTTGTTTTTATTATGACCATATGTGGAAATGTTGACGTGAATGTTTTGTTGAGATGACCTGGGCTTTTATTTCAATCGTGTTCTCCAAAGAATGAACTAATTGCTGACCAGGGGTGGGGGCGGGGAATATGTTATAGCACGTGATGGATGGAATTGATGGTAAACAAGTATAAAATGGACCATATTTGGATTTACCACTAAGGGCGCTGCAGCTCTGCACCATTCCGCCTCAATACTACTTCGTAAATACATACTTGCCAGCGTCGAAATTAACTAAGACGACGTGAGTGGAAAATTTTAAATTGTGCAGTCTTTAAAAAAAAAAAAGCGGTGACAATTACTGGACTCATTAGGAATTAGACACGGTTAAAATGAACACGATGTCATGCTGTGTGGTTCACCACATCAAAACAAACGTTGTATGCGTAAAACAAAGGGTAATAAATTGCAAAGGAATTCATGAATATATTGCAGCGTGGTAATGTTGTCAATACAGGCAGCCTATTGGCCACACCATTAAGTACTCCCGCAAACTACAATGGGATCCAATACAAGAGCTGCATCTACAATTCAGCCTTTATAGGAATAATAGTGTAAAATTGACATTGTCAGCGGGGTATTTTACTTTATGTTGCGGTGGTAGTTTGCAGTACTGTAACGTTGTCTGACAGATGTACTTGGGTTCTATGGTCTGTGTTCCAGTAAATACTTCTCTGAAGAACATTAAACATCTTTGTAAAGAGATAATTTACGATGCAACATTTAAAAAACATATTCGAGGTCATTAGTGTATGCAGTTGTACCTAATGAAGTAGCAGACACCCCTCAGTTTTACATACTGCTTTGCTGGTTTGCAAATTGGGGGGCACCTAAGTGTAATAGAAGGTCTCCTGCAGTGAGCTAAATATATCATGAGAAGCACCCATTCTGATAAAATCCTTCTGAAAGCAATATTTCTTTTAATGTGCATTTTTTTAATGGATGGATTTTCTTCTGCCTTTTTATCTTACATGAATATTAGAACATTCAGCGGTGCTGCAGTGGTTAAATGTGTCATGAGTTTTTTTCCCTATTAAATTGAATGACTCACAGAGAAAACAGATGTTAAATAGCCTATGTCCACAGTTCATTTTGTTGTTTGTCTCTTCCAATGTTTCTGCTGGAAATTCCTTCAGGGAATTTACTTGAACTGTGGGGAATGTTTGTCACAAGTATCTTAATAAAGTAATAGTAATACCACCAGTAACAGTTTTGGAATCAACATGGGTGTCAGGCAGAAATCAAGTAAAATCTTTGAATTAGGTTCACTGGAGATGGATAGACTGCTAAAATGTGACGTGTGTTCGTGTTCAGATTTTGTAAGACCAACAAAAATAGATTAGGCTTTTTTTTCAGTCTCCAAGCAAATATTCAACAAAGCATTTTTTTCCACCATGTTTGCGCATCCTCTTGCCCTTGATATGGTCTTGCTGTTGTATACTGTGTCCCATCCAATCATCTTTTGCTCAGCAAGTGGGGTGACCGAACGAGAGCAGTATTTATTGATGTGAACATTAACCTTTCCAGGAAAAAAAGTGTTTGCATACGAAATATATAGTGTATGTTGATCGCCCGACTTTTTTTTGGTGATTGGTTCTGTCCGAACTAGTTTTCCTCCCCTTACTATTGCTGTTTTTTACTTGTTTATTTTACTCAGATTTCATATTGACCCATCCTTTCTGAATTCTCAAATGCATATATTTTGTAGTATTCCAGCGAATACAGTCTTGTCCTATCTGTTGTCAACAAAGAAAGTTATAATAGCCACCCTATTTGTTTTTGTTTTTTTAAATTTAATGAATTTTTTTTTATTGTGTGTGTGGATTTGCAGTGAGGAGCTGGGGCGTGCTCATTGAGCTCAGGATGGCAGTCTCCACTCAACTGGGTTTACTGCTTTGGAAGAACTTCACCTACCGAAGAAGACAGACTGTGAGTACAGTATAAGTAACAACAACAACAATTAACCATTTTCTTAAATTTACATTATATCCATAAGCTGTACTACCATCTTTACTCCTGTCTGAGTCTGTCTCAATACAGCACAAGCAATGACAGGTCAAATTAATGCACAACATAGTTAACGTTAGCATGTTGTAGCTCTTTAACAAACTGTTACGGTTTCTCTCAGAGCATTTTGCGATTTCAGCGTTCTTAAAAGGCATTGAACCCATGAAGGCCTGTTTGGCATGAAAATGTCTTAAATCAATCTTTCAAACCCGCTCAAAAATGTTTCAGGCTAAGTCTGATTTTATTATCGCAGATATCTCAAAATAGATGAACCTTCTAGAAAAATCAATTTAACAAATAACCTCTTGTGGTAGCATCACACCGTCATAACAGTTTTACCAACAAACTGGTGATGCCGTTGTCATAGGGATTCTGAAGAGCAGATGCACGCCATATATGTACCGGAGCAACTTTGGACAAAATGGCACACTGGAAATGTTGCAAAGTTGCTCTTAAATGTCATTTCAAATGCAATGAAAAAGTTTTAAAATGTCTTGAATTAAACTTGCCTTAAGATGTAGGAACCCTGTATTGTATTGGATTTTTAAAAATGTTTACCACCTGTTATATTTTTAGAGTTACTTTCAAATATCTCGGTTCTTTTTGCTGAAGTTGGCAGAAACAGAAAATGGTGGGGTGGTGGCGTAACCCACAGTTGGGCACAAGGTCTGAAAAGTGTTACTGAAGTTAGCATCATTGAACAATGTGATGACACAATTGCACGTCGACTCGATTATCCCAGTTGCCATCTTGAGCAGCCTGTCGTCCACTCACTCAAAGTTATCTCAATCACATTCAGCAGTGGGCCGAAGCACAGAGCTGACTTCTGTTTAAACGGAGTAGTGTCATCTCCATACAATAGTTCTTTATCCCGCCGCGTAAAAAAACACAGTTTCCCCGAAGTGACGGCAGCGCCGGCTTCATTTTCAGTCCGATGAGTTTCAACAAAGAGATACAGTGCAGTCTCAGAGAGAACTGTCTGACTGTATTCCTTATCCCTCCCACCGCTTTTGGTGATTGTCTGCCATGCTGGGTCAGACAGACTTAGCAGCCTTATGGAACAGATGGGCAGAAAACCCAGAGTCTTCTAAACACGGCAGACTTATGTCTTTCTGTCTCCACTTATTAACCCATATACTTTTCCACTCTGTCTCACGTTGGGTATTACTGCTGATCCCATCTTCGCAGACACATACACTTGTTTACTTTCTTTGTGCACTAAAATGATCTTAGCATGGAAGGTTTAATATGAATTTGATGTTTCCTGAGAAGTTCTGGTTGATCTTTTTTGTCTCATCCCCTCTATGTCTTGCTCAATATCTCAGATTCAGCTGCTGATTGAGATTATTTGGCCCCTCTTCATCTTCTTCATCCTCATCTCAGTTCGGATACACTATCCACCATACGAGCAGCATGAATGTAAGTTGCCCTGCCATTACAGCTCTGAACAATATTCTTCTCTAATCATAAAACAGATGCTCACTAATTATGACAAAAACCAAGTTGTTATAATCATCTTTGTTGCAAAACCTAGTTTCTAAAAACCTAGTTTTTAAACAAAGCTAGCCTATAGTTTCTTCGTAAAATCAATATACGTGTTTTCCTTTGCATGTTGTCTTAGTGGGATGTTTGGGATTTGTCAATATTTGCTTGGACCACTGGGACATATGACGACGGGGTCTTCGGGGACAAACAATCATTAAATTGCATCAGGACTCTTTCACTGAGCTGACGTCACAATGAATTCCACATCCCAATACTCCTCTGAAAACATTTTATTGGCTATTTTCATGTGCAGTAATGATATACGGTAATACCTATATCTAAATATCACTGTGACTGGCTGGCGACCAGTTCAGAGTGTACAGGATAAGCCGTGTTGACAATGACATGAGAAAAGAGACCAGAACACGCACATCAAAGTCACTGAAGGTAAATGAACGTTACAAGTTCATAAATTAGTCGGGGAAGTTGCCTCCAATTCTTATCAGTTGAGGAGTTAATTGTCCAGTAAATAGCAGCCGTGGCAGTAAAGTTAGTGATGGGCCACTTCAACGTGTATTAGGCTTGAATCTGTTTCTGTTCACATATTCATAAAATACTTCCTTTTAGTGGTAGGCAGCCCTGCAGAACTCTCTTTGTAGGCAGCATAGGCGCGCAGCTTGATTTTTGTACCATTTCAAGCCTAGTTTAGCGTGTCTGAAAATCTGGCAGACCGCGTTTCGCCATGCTGGGCGGACTGAGGGTGTTTTCTTTTCCTTTGTACATGCTTCCAGCATAGTTTGGTGGCTGAAAGCAGATGAAATTTTAGACCATGTGTGGACAACTTTGGCCCTCGAAGTCCGGTATTCTGGATGTGTTATATGTCTCCCTGCTCCAACACGCCTGTTTCAAATGATTAAGCTTGTTTTTCAGAGCTTGCTGATTGTGTGCCTTACAAATAATCTGACTCTCTAACGTTTTAAACACATTTTCCACTGAGACGCTTGTATTTACATCTGCTTTGCCTTTTGGATTGTGGAACAGTGTCAACGAAAACATAATGGCATGGTATGTATACATTCGCAGGTCATTTCCCAAACAAAGCCATGCCTTCAGCAGGCACTCTGCCCTGGGTACAAGGAATCATCTGTAACGCGAACAACCCCTGCTTCCGAAACCCGACCCCTGGAGAGAGTCCCGGGGTGGTTGGCAACTTCAATGATTCTATGTGAGTGATGATCATGACTTTCTTCCGCATTCATACTGTAGCTGAATGATTGCCTTTTGCATCATATTAAGTAGCAATTTAATTGGATTCGATACAAGAGCACTCAGTGAGGTATGAACATTTTTGTGGTTGTATGATCACTTGCAGTACCGTAGATTAGGACTAAGTCATGCTCTGGGTAGTTTCTAGCGTTGCTTGTCGGCGGAGATTTTTATATAATACTCGCATTGGGTTTAAACCGATTGCTATGAATTGCAAAGTCTCTCTATTTTGTCTCACTGGAATTGTGTGTGTGTACCTTTGTACATTTTCAGAATCTCTCGCCTGTTTATTGATGCCAAGAAAATCCTGCTGTACTCCCAGAACGATAAGAGTTATGAGGGCTACCGAGGACTGCTGAGGGCCCTTCACAAGATGCAGAAGAACACTGCCCGTAAGGACAGCTTGATTATCAGCTTGTTTTACACTGTATTTGTGTTCGAAATTACCACCTGAGCCCTTCACTTTTCTATTCAGATAAATAAGGAAAGAGAACATAACACTCCGACACGACTTACAACACACAGATTTCATTTTGTAAGACAGCTTCAGGAATTTTTAAAGCATGCTCCAAAAACATAAAGCATTTTTACATAAACACGTGCATTACTGAAAACTCATTCGTTAATTTATAAAGTACTTGATTTATACTCTACTGCTGTTTCAAAGAGTTTATTTTTCAAGTAAAAACCCATAAATACATTTTTGAAGAAATCATGGCTAATGAGTAGATGAATAAAATGGGTTATGCAAAATGAATAGAGCTGTCAAAGTGAGCAACTTGTCCACCATCGTTGATATCTTCTGCACTTGTCTCTTATCAGCGTCAGACAGGCTGAGGGGCCCAGACTCCCAGAGGCCACTGGGCGTTGCCTTTGATATTGCGTGTCACTGGAGGAAAGGCTTGCATATGTACCACCCTGACAATTATTTCGTAATTAAGACACCAATCTCAAAGTACTCTGAGGCAGTAGATCTCAAATGTTACACAATGTCCAAGCATGAAACATAGTTGTTGTTTTTTTTTTCCTCTGGGTGGGTTGGGGCAACATTTTGAACAATCGTGATAGGAACAGATCCATCGCCATAGCCATGACATTTACTGCTGAGTAAGGTTGTGTTTCTAAGATAATGTCTTTTTGTTTGCTGCACTTGACCGTTTCCAAGAAGAGAAAGTCTTGTTTTGCCTCTGCAGTAAAATAAATACACTTCAGCACGTCCAAAGAAGAAAAACCTTGAAGGGTTTTACTAAACTTGTATTCTTTTGAGCCCACAAATGTCTATCCATCCATTTTCTAGACGGCTTGTCCTCTTCTGGGCTGCAGATGCATGGGGTCCTCTCTGGACTGGTCACCAGTCAATCACATGGCACACGTAGACAAACAACCATTCGGTCACCCACTCTCATCTGTGGAAAATTTAGAGTCCTTACCTTATCTCACACGCAAGTCTCTGGAATGTGGGAGGAAGCACTGGCAGAACATGAAAACTCCACATCCGATTGAAAACTAAAACCAAACGTGAAGCAGACGTGCTTGCGGCTACCTCAGCGTCCTGCCCAGAAATAATGACAACCATACAAATAACAAGAGTCTGTTCTAGTTTTATCAATTTGCCACTGAAATATGACTCCAATATTCATGTGATCAGTTCAGTTTTTTTTCCTGGAAATAAATGCACCTTAGCAAGGTTCCACATGAGCCCCTAACATGGAGCAGATATTATGCAACTAAGCATAACAGCTAAGTTTTGCAAACCATCGGGCTTTTTTTTGTCCAGAGGTAGAGAACATTATTATGCAACAACAGCCCCGCAAGGCATAGCAAAAAGTAAATTGTTACACTTTGGTCAAAGTAGAACGGCACTTTTAGAAATAATTGTAAATAATAATGTTTGCTGTCTTTTATGTAATGTGTGATTACTGCTTCTTGTGTTTTTCAGTCCATTTTGTGAACAGATACACATTCAATGTGACTTCATCTATTGATATTTGAAAGCCTTGCATCATCTTTGCAACCATCAATTTCAAAATGCGCAGTGTGCGACACTCTTCCACCCACGTGAAGCGATATGTGTTGCTTGATAATGGATGAAAACGTTGGATGGCGCATGATAACGCTGTCAGAAAAAGTGCCCGGCTCAAAGGAGTCAAGCTGCTCTTGTTTATGTTAACAATTGAGCGGCCGGTATGATTTCCAAATGTGATTTCAATGGAAAACATTACATTGGGAATCGTCATATTTTGTATAGAATGCCTCTTTAGATTTGAGATTATACCCTCCACCCAGCCAAATAATTTGTCAACTGTCCTAAATTCACCTGCATATTATTATTTTAAATCATAGTGATATTTAATTAGACATAAAGACAATTTTAAAATTGTTTCTGTACTCTCGTGTTAAAGTTGGGGGGAAAAACTGGACACAGACCATTATATCCTGGTCTATAACCAACTTGAATGGGTAGTTGCAGGTGTGTCATCGTTTGACGGGAGCCTTAAGACAAAAGTGAGCTTTAGTTAGTGTGTGTAGTAGCTCATTTCCTACCTCAGCCTGGTTCCTATAACTTTTTTTTTTTTTTTTTATGAAATATGAACTGAACAAGTTCATTAAAAACTCAAATGAACTTTGAACTAGTTTACATTGACAATTTCCCAACACTGCTCGATTGCCAAACAGTGATGAACACAACCAACTTTTCCCTTCTTGCACATGTTGTACAAATGTTTTTTGAGCTTTAGAAATCAAGAGTATATTTACCATAGAGTGCACAAAGCTGCTCCACATCCAGAACAGGAAAGACTGGCTGCATTTGAGGCTCCTGGGGCCTTTTTTTTTCCCTCACAGGATCCCAACTTGCAAGCCAGAATCCAACCAATAAATAGTAGACTTCATTTCGCTACTTTAAAGCTGTGTAGCAACCTTTGTACTATTTGTTTGTTCGTTGTTCGAAATGGGAGCAGCCTGTTTAGGGACCAGTTTGGTTCGTGATGGCACAAGGAGTCATGTTTCACCAATGTTTTGGCTTTTCAACAAAAAAGGCACCATCAGAGTCTTGCTTAGTCACATTAACATTTTATATGGAGTTTGACTTATAATTCCCCACCTCCAGCGCAAGGAAAAAAAGAAACACACACTGATTAGATAAAATTAAGACCTCGAATAGACACACACATCTCTTTTGACTTCACAACCACAATTCACAATTAAAATGGGAATTTTAATGAGCTTGTACTGTGGAATCTAGTCAGATGTGTCCTATGTGCCCTTTGTATACCCTGTAATGGGCGCCTTTCTTTCCAACTGGGACACTGATTAGAGCCTATTAGCACTCCATGGAGGTTCACCTCGGAGAAATAAGACAACTCATATAGACACAAGTGCACAATTTTAACACCCACACCAAGTCATTGAGCCATACAGTTTTTCACTTCCCCTCAGGGCATATTCAGGGTGGCTGCAGCAAACTGTGCGTGTGTGTGTGTGTGTGTGTGTGTGTGTGTGTGTGTGTGTGTGTGTGTGTGTGTGTCTGTGCGTCAGAGAGGAAGGAACCATTCGGCAGGATGTAGAGCAAAGTGGAATGGCCTCAAGTAACCTTTAGTGAATTCAGGTCTCAGACCAAAGTAAGTTAATGCATGCAAGTAATCATGGAACTGAGTCAGGCCGTTTCGAGAAGTTGTTTGACATCCATGGAATTCAGCAAAGTCACAACAAGTTCTCCGAGCAGTTTGTTCCAGTGTGTGATGTTATCCATCACTAAATACTCCCATCAGGGATGTTATATTTTCTTTTTGAACTCTTAAGAACTGTTGATTTTTATGATTTGAACAAACCAAGTTGCGTGTGATATGCCACAGATTCAACATTTCGAAGCTATTAAATGTATGATGCACCAAATGTTTTAGTCATCCTTTATGGCCAGTGCTACATTCCAGGTAAATTACTCTTACACCCTTACCGGAATGTGAATTGCTCAGAAACTAGTCGTCATAAGACAATGGTTCCAAATTGCAGATGTGGTTTAATGATTGGAAAATTCAGTTATACTTCTGTCTGAGTCATTCACTCATCGGTTTTGTTGTTGGAATCAGGTCTTCGCTTTCCCATCTTACATAATATTTCTTAACGTTTAGCAATGATGAATGAAAAACGAAAAACGAAATGTTTGCGTGTGTCTAAAGTTGTTCCAATTCTGGACTTCTTCTGAACGTGTTTTTGTTTTTACTCTTCTAGGTTTCAAACTGAAGGACTTTTTAAAGGACAACGAAACCCTCTCCCACTTCTTGCATCACAATGCCTCACTTCCTCGCCACGCGTTGAAGCAGATAGTGGAGGCTGATGTCAATCTGGAAAAGGTAGAAAATTATTGTGTGGATTATTTGTAAATTTTAAACCGCATCATCAAGCGGTGGCAAACTGTTGATGTGTTTTAAGTTTCAAATCTAAACGAGATGTAGAATATGTGGAGCCTTTTTCACATGGCAGATCATCATAAATCCCTATCCTCAACGCTCATGCACAAATCCAATGACCTTGACTCAGTGGAGACTGTTAAGCCTTTAATACCAGAAAAAAATCCACTCGGGTGGGTTTGGATGGGTGCAGACACCGTGGACACGAATTGATACCCTCTGCACTGGATTTTCCGCCATTTTAATTAAAATATAAACCACAATTGAATCTATTTTTTTTTCCTCATGACCACTGTGTCTGCCTGTTAATTTTCTTATTATGTCTTCTCGTTGGGATGTCAACACCACCTCAACATAAAGACACACACACACACACACACACACACACACACACACACACACACACAC